AAGGGTCAGGCGGTTGAAGCCAGCTGGGGTCCGAGATGGGCCAGCACTGGTTCTGGCGAGCAGGAAGGAGGGGGGCAGGGTTCGAGGTTCTGGGGTCGAGAAGGTTCTTTCCTGTTTCAGGCCTCCGGGGGCCGTTTTCGGGCCCTGGGACCGTCCAGAACGGATCCTGAGTACAAGGCTGCACCAGACGGAACCTGGGAGGGCGGGGGGACCGCCCTTGAGCAGATGTGCCCTCCGTTTCTCTCGCCCTCTCGCTGGCTGCCGGGCGTCGGCGCTAATCACCAGCGCCGCCGCCGTGTGTTGCCATTTGGCGGGCGCCCCCGCCGCGATTCGCCCGAGCAGGGGAGCCATTTTTGTGAATCGCGCGCCCCCCGCATTTTTTATAGTCAAGAGGCGAAGTGTTCCCCCCGCCTTTGTTGAGAGATCCTCTCGGGGCCCATCCGGTTCAGACCCTCTGGCCGCCTTCAATCAGGCGGGGGTTGGTCAGCGGTCCGGCAAACGGGGCAGGGCCGCAGCGATGTGAGCAGCGACCGCACCCGCCGATCGGAGCACAGGCGCAGAGGATCGGACTGGACCACAACCACGGCTTGTGATTGCGATTCCGCAGCCAGTGCTCACGTTGAGAATTTTTGAGTTCGGTTGAGACCCCCTGCAGTTGGGAGGCAGCGGCACCGAAGTGCGCCCCCAAGTGTTTCGGGAAGCGGCACGGAAGAGGGATTTGCCAGCGGTCAAAGCTTGTAGTGAGAGGATTCAAGGAGAAGGTTCAAGTGATGTTGCCAGATCCCACACTCATGCGTACCAGTCTTGTCTTCAAAGCCGTCATGTGAAACTTGTGGCCCAAGCCTGTGTCAGGCCAGATGCAAGCTGTTTGCAAACAGAAGAAGCGTGGCAGGCGAAAGTACATGTACACGCCAGTTTACAATTCAGGTGAAGGCAAAGTGGCCTCAAGCCTGAAGCATAATTCATTGCAAAATCTTGCAACAAGCCACGTATAACGAAATTAAGTTTAATTCACACCAGAAGCAAGATATGAGCAAACCTGCGCCAATACAAAAGCAAGTGGGACGCACGCTTGGCAAGTGCAAGGCGCAAGGACTGCGCGGGTACCTTTGGGAATGCGTGTGGCTTCCCCAGGGGGCTGTTCTGGGAAAAGGAGGGTGTCCTCGAGGAATCAGGCAGAAGAGCGCGATTGTCGCCAAACCAAAAATAGGAGGAAGCAAGGCAGAGCATTCGAGAAAATCAAGGCCAGACTATTCAGCAACATCAGCCCGCAGATCACCAGATGTCCGAGATACGCATACATATCATACCTGCAGCTGAGAGGCAGAGTGGCGTAACCTTGCAGCCTGCCTGCGCACATATTACAATATCAAAGCTTGCATCATACATCCAATCCCGACAATGTTTCGTTCAAGCTTCACGTTCGTCGCCATCATGTTCGGCATCGGAATCGATAGCGCAACAACCTCATCGTCACACTCTTACCACTGGTCAGCGTCCGCAGCCGTTTTAGCCCACAATCCGCTGTGTCGCAAGGCTGCCTCCAGCGTGTCTGTTTGCACCTGTGCCTGTCAAGGGCAGATCGGGGGCCGTGGACGCTGAGGGATTGGCCGGATCAATCTCGGGGCTTCGACATGGATCAGTTTTTATTCTGCTCCAATGGCGCCATCTTGCGCGAGGACAGGTTTGAGGATACTAGAGCGCAGGCATGTCGGCGCCTTCGGGCAACGAAGATGCTGCGGGGACCTACGGCAGTTGGTCCGCGCCCATGCTGACGCGGCAGAGGTGCTGGCGAACTATGCAACACGACGGATCGTAGAAAACGTGACGCCACGCGAAGCAGCAGCGATATTGTGCCATTTGCAGAGGTTGCGTCCGAGCGTGCACGATGAAAGGCTACAAACACTCGTGCAGGATGTCCTCGCGCAGAAGGACAACCTTTCATTGACCTCTCTGGTGGATGTGTCCAGGGTGCTCGAGTCGATGGGGCTGCATCGTGAGTTGGAGGATCTGAGCAGTCTTGTGGTCGAGAGCGCAAGTTTCCTGTCCAGCGATGTGATTCTCTCGTTCGCCAAAACCCTGTCACTGGCGGCCCGGAGGACTCCGGGTGCAAGCACCGAAGTGCACGCGGCAGTGTTCAGGATGCTGGGCGAGCACGTGCTGGAGAGCATGTTCGACGCGGCGCCCGCAGACCTGGCAGAGGCCCTGCTGGCCATCGCCGTCTTCTGCTGCAGCCGCCCCGGCCGCGGCCGGGGCGGCGCCCTGCTGCTGGAGAGGCCCTGGCACCCCGCAGTGTTCGCGGCCGCCGCGCCCGCGCTCGCGCTGCGGGCCCCGTCGCTGCCGGCGCCGGCGCTGCTGAAGTGCCTCCGAGCGTACGAGCTGATGCTGCTGTCGTCGCCGGGGCGGGGGGCGCTCGGCCGGGGCGGGCCACGGCCCGGCGAGGCACCGCAGCCGCTCTTGCCGGGCGCGAGGCGCCCCCTCCGGGATCGGAACCTTGATTTTTCCCATTACCCAGAGACCCTCGCGCTGAGAAAAAATCACGACGGGAGGTTTTTCGCTATTTTCTGCCTCCAGGGGCCCTCACTGGGCCTCGAGACCGTCAAAAAACGACTCGAAACGAGAAATCGGTCCCGGGAAAGAGGTCCAGACTTCTTAGGGTCACGTCATGAGAACATCACCCGTCATAGCCACAGCAGGCCAATACGTACCCTACTGTCGCAAGATGGTGGGTCAGAGATTTGAAAGATTCAGCGCCAGCGAAACTATCCAGCCCGGGGCGGCCAAAGCCGCATGGGTGCGGGAGGAGAGTCGGTATGCTCTTGCCCACCTCCTGGCATGGCCTGTTTCGATCCGAGTGGTCCAACATGATATGGATTATCGATTGCGCCATGCCCAGTCTGGCTCGATCCCGATTCATCCGACGGTCCAGTGCGCCTCCAAGTTTGCACGGAGTTGTCGTGCATCCCAGCGCGGCCGATCCGAGGGGTTGTTATCATGTCCCGTTGTGGTCGTTACCCGAGGGAGGGGGGCAGTCAACAGTAACGCTTGGGCGGGGTGGGGCACCGGGCGGGAGCGCGCTGCGATCGCCGTAGTTCGCGCGCGAACACCAGCATGTTTGGGGGCGGGGGGCAGGCCCCCTCCCAACGTACGATTGTTACTGTTCGCGGGGGGGGGAGGCGCTTGGCCTGGGTAACAACCGGTACGTGCCAGAGGATTTGTTTTAAGTCTCCGATTCGATCCCGGCTCCGTGCCGATGCGGCTCGAGTTGACGCACCGTTGCGGCTCGATCCGATTCCGCAACCCGATGGTGTTGGTTGGTCGTGTCGCTTCCCCTCCTCCTCCTCCTCCTCCTCCTCCTTCTCCTTCTCCTCCTCCTCCTCCTCCTCCTCCTCCTCCTCCTCCTCCTCCTCCTCCTCCTCCTCCTCCTCCTCCTCCTCCTTCCCCTCCTCCTTCTCCTCCTCCTCCTCCTCCTCCTCCTCCTCCTCCTCCTCCTCCTCCTCCTCCTCCTCCCCGTCCCAAGGCCCCTCCTCACTGGCCAGCACTTGCAGGGATGCTTTATCACTCTGCGTGATGAGCGCCCCCGAGCGAGACGAGCGCCCCTACTGTGCGTGTAGGTCCTGTGCGAGCACTGATTTGTGATTTTTTGATGAAAGCAGAAATGGTGCCCCCCCACGGGGGTGGATGGCGAGGCATGAGCTGGATTCGCCCCGCTGGTTTCGCCGGCGGCTGGTTTCGCCGGCGATGGTTTCGCCAGCGCTGGTTTCCCCGACGCGAGCTTTAACGGGCGGGTCGGGTCGGGCGGGCGGACCCTAGCGGGCGGGTCGGGTCGGTTCGGGCCGGCGGGCCCTGAAGGGCGGGTCGGGTCGGGCGGGCGGGACATTAAAGAGCGAGGCATTTTCGACCGAGCACGCGCGAACCTTCACGGGCGGGTCGGGTCGGGCGGGCGGACCCTAGCGGGCGGGTCGGGGCGGGCGGGCGGGACATTCAAGTGTGGGCACACGCTCGACGGAGCACACGCGAACCCGAACAGGCGGGTCGAGTCGGGCGGGCGGACCCTAACGAGCGGGTCGGGTCGGGCGGGCGGGGCATCAAAGTGTTGGGCGCGCTCGACCGAGCACCCGCGTGCCCTAACGGGCGGGTCGGGTCGGGCGGGCGGACCCTAGCGGGCGGGTCGGGTCGGGTCGGGCCGGCGGGCCCTGAAGGGCGGGGCGGGTCGGGTCGGGCGGGCGGGACATTACAAAGTGGGGCATGTTCGACCGAGCACGCGCGAGCCTTAACGGGCGGGTCGGATCGGGCGGGCGGATCCTAGCGGGCGAGTCGGGTCGAGTCGGGCGGGCGAAACTTGACGGGTCGGGTCGGGTCGGGCGGGCAGACCCCAACGCGCGGGTCGGGTCGGGCGGGCCGAACATTCAAGTGTGGGCGCGCGCTAGATCGAGCACGCGCGAACCCGAACAGGCGGGTCGAGTCGGGCGGGCGGGTCGGGTCGGGCGGGCGGACCCCAGCGGGCGGGTCGGGTCGGGCGGGCGTGACATTGAGGTGTGGGGCGCGCTCGACGGAGCACACGCGAACCCTCACGGGCGGGTCGGGTCGGGCGGGCGGACGGGCCCTAACGGGCGGGTCGGGTCGGGCGGGCGGGACATTAAAGTATGGGGCGCGCTCGACCGAGCACGCGCGAACCCTATCTGGCGGGTCGGGTCGGGCGGGCGGACCCTGGCGGGCGGGTCGGGTTGGGCAGTTTCGCCAACGGCAGTTGGTTTCGCCGACAGCAGCTGGTTTCGCCAACGGCAGCTGGTTTCGCCGACGGCATCTGGTTTCCCGACGGAGCTGGTTTCGCCGGGCGGCTAAACCAGCCCGGCGAAACCAGCCGGGCGAAACAAGCCGGGCGAAACCAGCCGCTGGCGAAATCAGCGGTCGCCGATGGCGAGGCGCACCGGCCCAATTTGAGGCGCGCGCGAGGGGCTGGCGAGGGGGGGGGATGCCTTCTGTCGGAGGCCTCGAGGCCGACAAAAATGACAAGTACTGGCGGCTGCTGCCTGCACCGAGGGAAGATGATTCCCGATCTCGGCGGCGGTGGTAGGATTCGAGCTTCTCATCGTGGGCGGAAAACACATCCATGTCCGCGGCATCGCGGGCCAGGCCCCTGGGCCGCGACCCCGCGGATACGGGGCGTTGTGTCGCGGATGCCCCGCGAGGAACGTATCCGTGCGACCGCGCATTCGCGGGATCGCGCCCCCGAATCCAGACCGCGGGGACGCGGATGCGGAGATGTTCGCAGCTCGTGATCCTTGGTGGCCGAGAGAATACCACCAGCACCAAAATCCGGGATCATCTTCCGCATGTGGAGGCACCTCCCTGCGCTGGCGTTGGTATCAGTTTCAAGGCCCCCATTTCTGAGGAGGAGGAGGAGGAGGGGTACAGTCAAGACGCTGAAATAGGAAGCCACTTTGGCTTCTGGAGGGGCCCTGGTTTTCGGGCCGGTCCGTAGGTCTAGGCTGGGGATGCTCTACGTGGCCGAGAACCCATCCGTTCCTTATGTAACGTTCTTCGTGGTTGACTGTAGCCCAGAGGCTTCTAAGAATCCTTCTTAGAGTCCGGGAGGGCTTTTAGGGAGGACCCTGCCGTCTTAGAAGCTCGAATCCTGACGTCTGAACAACAGTACGATGGCCGTTTGTTCTGCATTTCAGCGTTTCGAGGCCGTTCCTTGGCCGCGGGACCGTCAAAAGACAATCGGGGGCCTAGAGACAGGGGTCAGTGCAAACGGGGGTCAGTCAGAGCGCTGCATCTTGCAGGATCCTGCAGGGCCAGGATCGCATTGACCCGGGTTTGGGTGCAGGATCCTGCAGGATCCTGCCTGCAAGATCCCGCAAAGCCTGACTGACCCGGGTTTGGATCGACCCGGGTCAGTAGATCCCCGAAATTATGCAGCGTGGGAGGAGGGGAAAGGCGGACCCCTGCCTTCTCCTCCGACGACGGCTTGTTGTTGGTGACGTGGGCCCCCAGGGATCTCGACACCTTCCCGAGGACCGACTTTTCGTCCTGAGTCGCTTTCTGACGGTCCCGGGGCCTGGAAGCGACGTCCAACGTACAAGCGACGAGATCCGTGACAATCGCGACCGACGCCCTAGGCCCGATCTTTATGTTATACGTCTCGAGCTGGATCGATCCATGAGGGCTTCAAGACCCGAAACAAAGCGAAAACGCCCAGTACGACCAAAGTGTGACGCCCTGATTTCAGGGATTTGTGATTCCCGCGGTCCCCAGCAAGCTGCAGCGATACAAAGACTTATGATCACAGGAACGCACATTGGTTTCGGGAAGGTGCGTGACGCGAGCGCTCGTGTCACAGAAGCGGCCGTGCGAGCTGAGGGGCGTTCAAAAGGCTCGTCGGATGAGAATGTGTCCTGCTCGGAGGTGGTCTGCGGAAGTGTCTTATCTCCCCAGAGACGAGTGAACCCCCAGAAAACATGGGCACGATGGGAAGATCGAAGATGTGTGTTGAATATGCTCAGGCAGGCACGGGATCGGGATGTGATCGTTTTCTTATTCATTGTTTTGCCGATCGGCGCGGGCCCTCGCACCCCTCCCCCCCTAGAGTAGATCTTGGCTGTTTTTTGCGCCTGTTTCAAGCAGATGGAGTCTCCCCGATTGGACGAACTGTTGCAAACAGACGCATTCAGCAGAGGTCCAGAGCCAGAACCCCCCCCCTTCGCCCAATCTCGAAACGCCGAATGAAGGAAAGCGTTCGCAATCAATCGCCCCAGAGCGTTCCAGAACGCTCTCAGAGTGTTCTGGAGAGCTCTGGAATTGCGCCCGATGTATCCTCCAGAGCCGCCGGATCTCAGAGATCCCCAACGTATCCTGATCCCAGTCTGTTCCGATCTTCGTTTCGTGTTACGCGCTCCAAGACTCCGTTATAGCAAGACAGGTTGCTTAGTGTTAGGATGCAGCCACTGTGCTCAGGCACGCGCAGCAGGGCACGCACGCCCCGTCCCTGATATCCGACGTCGCGACAGAATGGAAACAGTGTCGAAAATCACTCCTGTAGCCCTACAGCCAAGATGCCGAAACAAGGAAGAGGTTCGGTTCGGAAGGGGCTCGACATTCCGTAGGTCCTTGCACGGCTGTTTCTCCAGCGCTCCTCGTCCTCGCAGGCGCGCTTGGGGCCAACAAGGGGCTTCGCTCCATGTCTAGCGTCCCTTTTTTCAGCAACTCCCGACTTTAGACTTCTTGACTGTAGCCCGTGATTTCGAATTCGCCCTCCCACCCCCCAGCGACCGCGAACTGCGCTCACTCGCTTCCAGCTGTTGCCGCATGCTGTCGCTGCATGGGGCCCACGCATGCCGCAGCTTGCTCTCGGCCCCTCTTCCTGAGGCATTTTTTTTTGAGCTGGATCGAGCCGCGACGGCCCCGGGGCCCGAAGCCAGGCGAAGAAACGCCACGGCGTGCAAGCATTGCAGCGCCCCGGACCTCAGGGAGTTTTCGGGGACTCCACCCGCAGGCCGGAGCAGAGCCTGACAGAGCTGCCGCCCGTCCTCGCCGAGGCCCGTGGGCGAAAGACAGATTCGTATTCGCGGCGTCGCGGGGCGCGCCCCTGGGCAGCGACCCCGCGGATGTGGGGCGCTTTTCCGCAGATGCCACGCACGGAACGCATCCGTGCAACCGCGTACCCTCGAAAACGAAAACACGGCACAAACATAAACTGTCGCGCGGATTTCTTAGATTTGGGTTGGGCCCCGCTGGCGGCGCCTCTGGCGCCGCCCCTGGCGCGCTCCGCGCGCCAGTCGGGGGGGTCCAGCGCCGATCCAGGAAATCCGCACGGAGCTCTGAAAGCTCATGCTTGTGCAGCTTTCTCTTCCGCCACATCCGCGGGATCGCGCCCTAGAATCCAGACCGCGAGAGCGCGGAGACAGATTTGTTTCGGCGACTACACAGGGTGTGGTTACGCCGGGGTGTGGTTTGCGGTCGGCGCCGTTGGGGCCGGGGGGGCACGACACTGTCCTCGTCGGGCCTCCTCCGTGCGCGGCGGAGAGCTCTATCGAGGTCCCCGCCCGCCCCCCAGGGTGCCGCTTGCAGACCACGCCCTTTGCAAACCACTTTCGGAGTCGCCGAATGTTCTTTGAGATCCGACGGCGCGAAAAATTGTGACATCGCAAAAGATCACCACCAGAGCCCAGGACCCTATCTTTCTGCAGCACGTCTCGAGCCGGATCGATCTGTGAGGGTCCCGAGGCCCGCAATTTGGCGAGAACGCCCGCTGTGAAACATTGGGACGCCAGGATCTCAGGGCCTTCGGAGCCGCCGAGTGTTCGCCGCTCGTGGGAGGCCCTGGCGCCGAGGCTCCCCCAGCTGCGCGGCCGCGGCGTCGTGCGGGCGCTGCACGCGCTGGCCTCCCTGCGGCGGCACGGGCTGCCCCTCGGCGCCGGCGGGGAGGCGCTGCGCGTGGCAGCGCGCGAGGACCCCGGCCTGCCCAGGGGGGGGGTGGCGCTGCCCTTGTTGCGCAGGGGGCGTCCTCGCCCGGTTTCGCCCTCGGCCTGCGCCAGCTGCACGTAAGCGTGGTCTTTCGCCAGGGCGTCTTCTGGTGCGGGCCCAGTGGGCCCCCCCGATCGCTGGATGCGATGCGATAGCAGCGGCTTGCGCGTCTGGTTGTGTCCCCAACGGGGCCCCCCTTCAGCCGCGCACCAAAGATCACTCTTGCCCAGGGTCACTCTTGCGTGCAGCCGACTGCGCGGCCGCCAAGGCCGCCTCAGTGTCGGTGACCAGGAGAGGGCGAGCTGAGAGAGCCCTTGAGAGCCCAGACCCCCTCGAGTCGTCCCCGAGGTCCTGGCGTCTCAATTTTGTCCGAGCCGGGCGTTTTCGTCAGGTTTCGGGCCCCGAGACCATCACAGATCGATCGGGCCTAAAAAACACTGGCGCAGAAAGATTGGGTCTACGGTAGGTTCAGGCGGCGATGGCGCGCTAATGACGCCACCGAAGGCGTTTACGGGGGTCTTTGCAATGTATTCCCGCAAGTATCAGTACCTTCAGGCTCCTCCAGTAGAGGGGAAGGACAGGAAGATTGGGAGAAGGAGGAAGAGGAGAAGGAGGAGCCCTCAGATCCGGGCGTTTGCAATTGTTTCACGCCGGGCGTTTTCGCCCGGTTCCAGGCCCTGGGACACAGATCGAGCTGGCTCGGAAAATTATGCAGCAAGATGATTTGGTCGTGATGTTTCACGGCTTTGTAGTATTTTCGGCAACGTCAGGTTTGAAGGGCCCATAATGCGATTCGGTGTGATTCGATTCGCTAGCCATGGGGCCGCGATTCCAAGTCGGTTCGAGCCTCTGCTCTGGAAATGTTCGAAGATGCTTTCGTCGACTTGATGGTTTCGCAGCAGCTTGCCAGCGACGCATTTAGAGAGCTGTGTACGACTGCATCCTTCTCGACCAGCGTCTCGACTTGCGGGGCGCGCGCGGGCCACGCGCGCGATCGGACTTGACCTGACCGGGCCCATTCACGGGCATCGGCCAGGGCCAGCCGCAGCCGGGCGCGGCGAGCCGATGTCGGCGCTGATTCGATTCGAAACGACTCGCCGGCGAGCCGATCCGTCTCCGACCCAGGCCGGTTTGGCGGCACGATCCGGCTCATGCTCGCCAGACCTCCTCGCGTCGTGAGGAAGATCACGATGGGAGGGTTCGAGTCGTTGTCGGCCTTCAGCGGCCCTCGCCGGACCCCAGGGCCGTCAGAAGCCGACTCGAGGCGAACAGTTGATTCCGGGATTGGATCGGGACCTCCGGGGATTGAGAAGGATGACGATTGCGAAACAACATGGGGGGACAATTTGCAAGATAGTTGTCTGCTCTTGGGCAATATTGTGGAGATGACCATCAGATGATCTCAATGACGGCAACGACGCCCACGAGCATGCCCAACACCCAATGTAAAAATCATTGCCTTGGGCGTTGTTGCGTGACTGGAGCAGGAATTTCTGAATCGCTACCCTACGCGTCAGGCTGATACCTCGCTGGAGTAACCTTTGGTGCGGGCCCGCAGGGACCCCCAGGGCGCCGAATTCGATGCAATGGCAGCGGCTCTCGCGCCCAGGTTTGCCCCCCGCCCCCATGGCCCCCCTTGGAGCCGCGCTCCAAAGGTCACCCAGGTCATTTCTTGCGCTCATGGTGGTTCGTGACGTGTCGAACAGGCGGCGACCCCACGGTGGGCGTTCAAGGTTAAACGCCGCCAGTGGGCCAGAATCGGCCGGTATCGAACGATCTGCGCGGTCGGAATGCCGCCGATCGCTCAAGTCGAAACGATCCACGGAGTGTCGGAAGTCCAACGCTGAAATCGTCACGACACGAGCTTGCCGTAGCCGAGAGGAGCTCCGCGAACGCACGGGCGAGCTGGACGCGCGCGACATCGGCTACGCCCTCGAGGCCTTCGGCGTCCTGTCGGACAGCGGCTCGCCGTTGGCGGCGAGCAGCGAGCTGCTGCGGGCTTTATACGAGGAGGTTCTAAGAAGAAGAACGCCATAAACATATGGTCAGGAATTTGCGTTTACTGCCAAGCCTGCTAGTAATGATTCCTCTCGCTTCGCGGGGTGCACGTCCGGACTGCGGAGAGTACGGGCGTTTTGGACGCCTTGGGAGTTTTTTGGGAAGCTTCCGGAGGACCTCTTGGGGGCCTATTGGGGAAGCTTGGGGGGTTATCGGAATCACTTTTTTGGTTCTCTGGCACAGGCGTGACCAGGGGGGGAGGGGGCTGGTCACGTCACGATTCGCGCCCGCGGGAGGCGGAGGGTGAGGGAGCTTCGCCTGTGAGTAACTTGCGACCCTCTGGGACGCACGGAGGAAGGAGATGATTCGTGCTGCTCCCTTGGGTCGTGCTCCAGCACGTACCCTCTGGGACGCACGGAGGAAGGAGCCTCCACCCCGACGACTCGAAGTTGGTGAAAGACCACAGGTCCGAGCCGGAGCTGGTCCTGCAGCACGTGCCCGAGGCGATCATGGTGCAAATTCCCGGGAACACGGCGCCCCGCTTTGGGAATCAGCCCGCGGGCGTCTTCCCCGTGAAGCAGAGGGAGGTGTCCTGGGATCGCAGTCCCGGCTTCAAGGCCATGGTGAAGCGCGCGGGGTTCCCGCTGGTCCCGCACTTCGCCGCCACGGCCCACTGCGTCACCGGCGCCACGCTGCCGCAGGCCATTATCGACCTCCTGGACGCGCGCACGACGCCCCGCGCAGCCATGGTCCCCACGGGCTACGTGGCCATCAGCCGCACCAGGAGGGCTGACGATCTGATCATCACGCAGCCTTTTTCGCCCATGCTTTTCCGCCAGGGGCATCAGACGGGCCCATGGCTCTTGCACTCCCTGACAGCCGGGGAGATGACGACGGAGCAGGCGGAAGCCGGCTGGGCCAAGGCAGAGAAGGAAGCCGCGTCCAGGTCGTCCAAGAAATTGGTGGACGTCACTTTCCAGTGCGCCGACTGCCACCAGCGGAAGAGAGCGGGCAACTTCCCAGGCAGCGGCATGAGAACGAGCGACCCCGTAGAGCACGCCGTGGCGTTGCTGTGCCAGGGCGCGTGGAGGAGGTGCGCCCTGTGCGCGCAGAAGCGGACCTCTGCTGCGGGCGCGCCCGCCGCGGCTGCAGAGCCATTCGCCGCGAAAGGCAGAGACGTGCTCGTCTGCAATCGCTGCAAGGAGACTAAATCGTTAAAGAACTTCAGACGCAGCGAGGTCAATGACTTGACGGGAAGAGGGGCGCTGGACCTTGCCGTTTGCGTCGCTTGCACCCCTGAGAGGCAGCATTTCAACATTATGTCGGAGGGCCGCCTTTTTAAGTGCCGCATCTGCTCGCAGGAGAAGGCAGCGGATCAGTTTGATGCAGCCTTTTTTAAGATGCACAAGAGCGTCAAAGACGCCGCGTGCACAGAATGTCTCGACGAAAAAGGGAAGCCCCTCTGTCAGGGAGGCTGCGGAGCAAGGCCTCCAGACCGCTTGACGTACAGCACCGGTTTTTGGTGCGAGTCTTGCAAATTCCCGCCGTGCGCGAGATGTGGCACGACTCCGCGGCCGAAGACGGCCAAGTACAGAGTGTGGAACATGAAAGAGTGGACCTGCGCTCAGTGCCGGGATCCGCGCGGGGGGCTGAAATGCGCCCAGTGCTCGGCAGTGTTTATGCGAGCAGCCGTGAAGAGTTCCCAGCGCGACAAAGCAGACATGCTCTGCCCCGCTTGCAGGCGGGCAGAGTAGGCGCCGCGCTTGCAGGCGGGCAGAGTAGGCGCCGCGCATCCGATCCGAACTGGTCATCGCCGCCGTGGAGAACTGTGGAAAATGTTGGCGTTACATGGCGTGACATGCTCGGCCTCCGCGCGCGTGTGCCGCTCCGGCCTGCCATCCCCGGGGCTTGAGGCGGTGTCCTGGAAGGGCTCATGGGAGCTTCGTGGAAGCCTCCAGGGATCCTCTTGGGGCATCTTTGGGGCCGCCTTGGGGCCTCTCGGGGCTTCTTCTTGCGTCTTGCGCCGTCTTGGGGCGCTCTTGCGCCGCCCAGCCCCTTCGGAGGCCATCTTGGAGGCCTCTCGCGGCCGCCTTGGGGCTCTTTGGGAGTCTCCTTCGCCCGTCTTGGAGACCCCTTGGCCCGTCATGGGGGCCTCTTTTGGCCGTGTCGGGCCCCCTTGGGCCATCTTGGAACCTCCATGGGGGCCTCTTGGGCCGTCTGGGGGTCTCCTTGGAGGCTGGTTGGGCCGTCATGGTCCTCTGAGAGCCGGCAAGGGCGAGAACGCGAAAATTATTAAAAAGCCATTGGGAAATTTATGATTTTGGCTCATGGAGGCGCCCTTTGGGATCATTTTGGGGCCCTCTTGGGCCGTCTTGGGGGCCTGACGGGCCCTCTTGGGACCATCTGGGGCCGTCTTGGGGCCGTATTGGGCCGTCTTGGGCCGTCATGGGGCCATCCTGGAACCCCCTTGACGCCTTCTTGGAGTCCCAAGAGGCCGAAGAGGCCGAAATTGTTGATTTTACATCGGTTTTTGTAGGTTTGGGGTCCAGAATGAGGGGGGCCAACTTTTGGTACGGCGCTGTGGCGCGACTCCAGGGGGGGGTTAGGGGGGGAGACATAATAATGTAACAAAACACAATATGTATCAATTCCGCAATAGAGGCCGAAGAGGCCGAAATTGTTGATTTTACGTAGGTTTTTGTAGGTTTGGGGTCCAGAATGAGGGGGGCCAACTTTTGGTACGGCGCTGTGGCGCGACTCCAGGGGGGGGTTAGGGGGGGAGACATAATACTGTAACAAAACACAATATGTATCGATTGTGCAATCATTGGACACATGGGATACGTTGCATTAAGGCGTTCGCCGAAAAACGCTACCGCTCAGCACGTCACCTCCGGACGTGGATTCCTCTCGCTTCGCGGGGTGCACGTCCGGACTGCGGAGAGTACGGGCGTTTTGGACGCCTTGGGAGTTTTTTGGGAAGCTTCCGGAGGACCTCTTGGGGGCCTATTGGGGAAGCTTGGGGGGTTATCGGAATCACTTTTTTGGTTCTCTGGCACAGGCGTGACCAGGGGGGGAGGGGGCTGGTCACGTCACGATTCGCGCCCGCGGGAGGCGGAGGGTGAGGGAGCTTCGCCTGTGAGTAACTTGCGACCCTCTGGGACGCACGGAGGAAGGAGATGATTCGTGCTGCTCCCTTGGGTCGTGCTCCAGCACGTACCCTCTGGGACGCACGGAGGAAGGAGCCTCCACCCCGACGACTCGAAGTTGGTGAAAGACCACAGGTCCGAGCCGGAGCTGGTCCTGCAGCACGTGCCCGAGGCGATCATGGTGCAAATTCCCGGGAACACGGCGCCCCGCTTTGGGAATCAGCCCGCGGGCGTCTTCCCCGTGAAGCAGAGGGAGGTGTCCTGGGATCGCAGTCCCGGCTTCAAGGCCATGGTGAAGCGCGCGGGGTTCCCGCTGGTCCCGCACTTCGCCGCCACGGCCCACTGCGTCACCGGCGCCACGCTGCCGCAGGCCATTATCGACCTCCTGGACGCGCGCACGACGCCCCGCGCAGCCATGGTCCCCACGGGCTACGTGGCCATCAGCCGCACCAGGAGGGCTGACGATCTGATCATCACGCAGCCTTTTTCGCCCATGCTTTTCCGCCAGGGGCATCAGACGGGCCCATGGCTCTTGCACTCCCTGACAGCCGGGGAGATGACGACGGAGCAGGCGGAAGCCGGCTGGGCCAAGGCAGAGAAGGAAGCCGCGTCCAGGTCGTCCAAGAAATTGGTGGACGTCACTTTCCAGTGCGCCGACTGCCACCAGCGGAAGAGAGCGGGCAACTTCCCAGGCAGCGGCATGAGAACGAGCGACCCCGTAGAGCACGCCGTGGCGTTGCTGTGCCAGGGCGCGTGGAGGAGGTGCGCCCTGTGCGCGCAGAAGCGGACCTCTGCTGCGGGCGCGCCCGCCGCGGCTGCAGAGCCATTCGCCGCGAAAGGCAGAGACGTGCTCGTCTGCAATCGCTGCAAGGAGACTAAATCGTTAAAGAACTTCAGACGCAGCGAGGTCAATGACTTGACGGGAAGAGGGGCGCTGGACCTTGCCGTTTGCGTCGCTTGCACCCCTGAGAGGCAGCATTTCAACATTATGTCGGAGGGCCGCCTTTTTAAGTGCCGCATCTGCTCGCAGGAGAAGGCAGCGGATCAGTTTGATGCAGCCTTTTTTAAGATGCACAAGAGCGTCAAAGACGCCGCGTGCACAGAATGTCTCGACGAAAAAGGGAAGCCCCTCTGTCAGGGAGGCTGCGGAGCAAGGCCTCCAGACCGCTTGACGTACAGCACCGGTTTTTGGTGCGAGTCTTGCAAATTCCCGCCGTGCGCGAGATGTGGCACGACTCCGCGGCCGAAGACGGCCAAGTACAGAGTGTGGAACATGAAAGAGTGGACCTGCGCTCAGTGCCGGGATCCGCGCGGGGGGCTGAAATGCGCCCAGTGCTCGGCAGTGTTTATGCGAGCAGCCGTGAAGAGTTCCCAGCGCGACAAAGCAGACATGCTCTGCCCCGCTTGCAGGCGGGCAGAGTAGGCGCCGCGCTTGCAGGCGGGCAGAGTAGGCGCCGCGCATCCGATCCGAACTGGTCATCGCCGCCGTGGAGAACTGTGGAAAATGTTGGCGTTACATGGCGTGACATGCTCGGCCTCCGCGCGCGTGTGCCGCTCCGGCCTGCCATCCCCGGGGCTTGAGGCGGTGTCCTGGAAGGGCTCATGGGAGCTTCGTGGAAGCCTCCAGGGATCCTCTTGGGGCATCTTTGGGGCCGCCTTGGGGCCTCTCGGGGCTTCTTCTTGCGTCTTGCGCCGTCTTGGGGCGCTCTTGCGCCGCCCAGCCCCTTCGGAGGCCATCTTGGAGGCCTCTCGCGGCCGCCTTGGGGCTCTTTGGGAGTCTCCTTCGCCCGTCTTGGAGACCCCTTGGCCCGTCATGGGGGCCTCTTTTGGCCGTGTCGGGCCCCCTTGGGCCATCTTGGAACCTCCATGGGGGCCTCTTGGGCCGTCTGGGGGTCTCCTTGGAGGCTGGTTGGGCCGTCATGGTCCTCTGAGAGCCGGCAAGGGCGAGAACGCGAAAATTATTAAAAAGCCATTGGGAAATTTATGATTTTGGCTCATGGAGGCGCCCTTTGGGATCATTTTGGGGCCCTCTTGGGCCGTCTTGGGGGCCTGACGGGCCCTCTTGGGACCATCTGGGGCCGTCTTGGGGCCGTATTGGGCCGTCTTGGGCCGTCATGGGGCCATCCTGGAACCCCCTTGACGCCTTCTTGGAGTCCCAAGAGGCCGAAGAGGCCGAAATTGTTGATTTTACATCGGTTTTTGTAGGTTTGGGGTCCAGAATGAGGGGGGCCAACTTTTGGTACGGCGCTGTGGCGCGACTCCAGGGGGGGGTTAGGGGGGGAGACATAATAATGTAACAAAACACAATATGTATCAATTCCGCAATAGAGGCCGAAGAGGCCGAAATTGTTGATTTTACGTAGGTTTTTGTAGGTTTGGGGTCCAGAATGAGGGGGGCCAACTTTTGGTACGGCGCTGTGGCGCGACTCCAGGGGGGGGGTTAGGGGGGGAGACATAATACTGTAACAAAACACAATATGTATCGATTGTGCAATCATTGGACACATGGGATACGTTGCATTAAGGCGTTCGCCGAAAAACGCTACCGCTCAGCACGTCACCTCCGGACGTGGATTCTTGGGCTTACGCCGCACCGCCGACCCCTTGGGGGGCTCCTGGTAGGTCTCTCGGGGGCCTCCTGGCAGCACTTTTGAGGCCTTTGGGGGGCTGTTTTGGAGCCTCATGGGGCCTCTTTTGGGCCTCTTGGAGCCACTTGGGGGCTTCTTGGGGGCCTCTTGGGGCCTCCTGGAGGCTTCTTCCGTAGCCATTTTGGCTCAAGTGAGCGGGCTCACGGGATGCCCTCACGCGCGCGCCCTGGGTAGGGCGCTTGGGGCGCGTGCAAGCGGCATGGAAGCGAGGCGCTGGGCAGCGTCCAGCGCGCGGACCCTGGCGAGGCGCCTCCGCCGCCAGCGGCGGGAGGAACTGGGGGGCACGCGCGCGTCGGCGCTGGCTCACCGCGTGCAGGCGCTCAGGGTCGCCCTCGCCGAGCACTGGCGGCTGGGCGACGTGCTGGGCTGTCACTTCCCCACGATGGCGGAGGCGCTCGAGGCGGCTCGGGTTGTGGGGCTGCCGCAGGAGTGCCTTCAGACAGCGGAGGAGGCCCTGGGCGCTGGCAGCTGGGCGCGGCACGCGGGCCCGCCCAATGCTGCCAGGCGCACACCTCCCATGCCGTCGGGGACGAGCGCAGTCTTCCTTGAGAAGGTCCTCAAGGTGCAGTCCTGTCCGCTGAACGCGGACGCGGTGGCGTACAACTGCTGGGCGCCAGGGGGCTGGAGCAGGGCGGTGCAGGAGGGCCATTGCGAGGAGGACGACGAGGATGCAGTCGTGGAGGAGGGCGCCGAGCAGGCGTACACCAAGAGCGACGTGGACATCCAGTGCGTGGACGCGGGGCAGGCCGCCGTGAAGGTGGCCAAGGCCGACGTCGGCGCAGAGCAGCAGGGCAAGCTCATGATCGACGGGGGCTGCCCTGGAGCCAACTGGCCGAGGGCACGGGCGCGGCCGGTGCGCCGGCGCACGCCGTCTGCGACTCGGAGGCCGGCTTGGAGGGCGGCGTCGAGGAGATGAGCGACGAGAAGGAGGCGGGCGTGACCATGCAGCGCGGGTGGTGGGCCGCCAGGGCCAGAATCTCTCGGGCTTGGCTGGGCACGAAGGCCTCGGAGAGCAAAAAGATGGCGGAGCTCGAGGCGCAGGGCGTCGAGGTTTTCGCGGCGTCCGAAGGCAAGGGCACTGACACGCAGGAGGTGCGGTGCTTGCTGACGGGCAAGGTACTGCAGGGTCCGAGGTGGGCTCCGCGGGGGCTGCCGCCCGACCCTGGAGAGGGCCGCCTGTTCGGAGATCCTGAGCCGAAAGCTAGGAGGCGCCGAGCGGGCAAGAGCAAGATGGCGGAGCCTTGAGGCCAGGCCGCGCCGCGGCGTGCCTCGTGGTTTCGTGTGGCTCGGAGCGGGCTGGCCGCCGCAGGCGCCGTAGCGCGCAGAACGGGCCTTGCGGCGGAATCCGCTCGAGGTCCGAGGGAGGGAAAAAAAAGCCTCCTGGAGGCTTCTTGGGGCCAAGGCCTCGAATCTTCCGTTCGGGTCCCCCGCATGTGCCTTCTCCTGGAGCCGTCTTGGGGGCCTCTTGGGCCGTCTTGGGACCCTCTGTGGCCGTCTTGGAGCCTTCTTTGGGGCTTCCTGGGCCGTCTTGGGGCGATCTTGGAGGCCTCTTGGGCCGTCTTTGACGTTGTGAAGGTCCAATCGGCGAATGTGTTCAAATCTCCCGTTTACTTAAGAGAATGGGACGAGTTTTGCTTCTGGAAGTCCTCTTGGGGCGCCTCTTGGAGGCCTCTTGGGGAATCTCGGGGGCCTCTTGGGCCGTCTGAGGGCCATCTTGGGCGTCTTGGAACGATCAATCGGCGACTTGGGGCCCTCTAGGACCATCTTGTGGGCCTCTTGGGGGGGGGGGGGGCGTCTTTCCCAAACCAAACGGGTCTTCCCAAACCAAACTTGGGCTTGGGTGACGTAGGCTTTGGTTTGGGAAGACCCGGTGTGGTTTGGGAAGACCCGGTTCGTTTGGGAAGACCCGGATGTTGGTTTGGGAAGACCCGGTTGGTTTGGGAAGACCCGGTTGGTTTGGGAAGACTCGGGCGCGTGGTTTGGGAAGACCCGGTTGGTTTGGGAAGACCCGGCCCGTTTGGGAAAACCGGGGGAATTGGTTCGGGAAGACCCGGTTGGTGTGGGACGACCCAGAGGTTGGTTTGGGAAGACCCGGCTGGTTTGGGAAAGCCCGGGTTTGGTTTGGGAAGACCCGTTTGGTTTGGGAAGACCCGGTTGGTTCGGGAAGACCCGGGAAGACGTGGTTGGTTCGGGAAGACCCGTTTGGTTTGGGAAGACACGGGGAGTTGGTTTGGGAAGACCCGGAGGTTGGTTCGGGAAGACCCAGATGTTGGTTTGGGAAGACCCGGTTGGTTTGGGAAGACCCGTTTAGGTTTGGGAAGACCCGGGGAGCTGGTGTGGGAAAGGCCCGGTTGGTTTGGGAAGACCCGGACGTTGCGGTTTGGGAAGACCCGGTTTGTTAGGGAAGGCCTGTGTGAGGTTTGGGAAGGCCCAGGGCTGTGGTTTGGGAAGACGCGGTTGGTTTGGGAAGACCTGGTTGGTTCGGCAAGACCCGTTTGGTTTGGGAAGACCCGGGGAGTTGGTTTGGGAAGACCCGGAGGTTGGTTCGGGAAGACCCAAATGTTGGTTTGGGAAGACCCGGTTGGTTTGGGAAGACCCGTTTAGGTTTGGGAAGACCCGGGAAATTGGTGTGGGAAGGCCCGGTCGGTTTGGGAAGACCCGGACGTTGCGGTTTGGGAAGACCCGGTTTGTTAGGGAAGGCCTGTGTGAGGTTTGGGAAGGCCCAGGGTTGTGGTTTGGGAAGACGCGGTTGGTTTGGGAAGACCTGGCCGTTCGGTTTGGGAAGACCCTGTTTGTTTGGGAAAACCCGAGTTTGGTTTGGGAAGACCCGTGCCTCGTGGTTCGGGAAGGCCCAGTCGGTTTGGGAAGGCCCGCTTTGTTTGGGAAGACCCGGCCGTTGTGGTTTGGGAGTGCCCGTTTGGTTGGGATGACCTGGTTGGGTAGGAAAGACCCGGGGTCGTGGTTCGAGATGACCTGGGGGTGTGGGAATACGTCGGCACTTGGTTCGGGCAGACCCGCTTGGGCAGGGAAGAGGAGGAGGGGGAGGAGGACGAGGAGGAGGAGGAGGAGGAGAAGGAGGAAATGCAGGAGGATGGAGAGGAGGACGAGGAAGAGGAAGGAGGATGGAGAGGAGGAGGAGGAGGAGGACGAGGAGGATGGAGAGGAGGAGGAGGAGGAGGACGAGGAGGAAAAGGAGGACGAGGAAAAGGAGGAGGAGGAGGAGGAAGAAGGAGGAGAGGAGAAGGGGGAGGAGGACGAGGAGGAGGCCTCTACGCCGACCCCATCTAGGAGCCCTGGAGCCCTGGAGCCTGGACCTCGGGAAGCGGCGGATGGGGATGCATTGCAGTCGGTCCCGCCAGGGGCCCGGATATGTCCACAGTCGCCCCTCCCCCTGTGCAGAATGGTTCGCCCTGGGGTTGCGCCGGACCACGCCGGACCCACCGGACCCACCGGCCCCACCGGACCCACCGGACCCACCGGACCCACCGGACCCACCGGACCCACCGGACCCACCGGACCCACCGGACCCACCGGACCCACCGGATCCACCGGACCCACCGGACCCACCGGACCCACCGGACCCACCGGACCCACCGGACCCACCAGACCGTCATCGTCCCATCACTTAACATTTCATCATGGGGCCCGCACCTCATGTGAGTAATCCCAGCGGAGCGTCGAATTCCTGTAATTTTCTGTCGTCATTCTTGGCGACTTCAAGCTTGAGTGTCGAGGAAGTCTCAGGCGGGAGCCTCGTCTTTGAGTAAATCGCGAGGAAGTCTCAGGCGGGAGCCCACTCCCTATGGGGCCCGCAGCTCATGTTAGTAATCCGAGCGGGTCATCGGAATCTTGTACCTGTCGTCACTTTTGGCCTCATCCAGCTTGAGTATGGAGGACATCTCAGGCGGGAGCTTCGTCTGTGAGTGCAGTGCGAGGAAGTCTCAGGCGGGAGCCCCAGCCCCCTCCCTATGGGGCCCGCAACTTTAGCTTCGAGTGCGAGCCAGTTTTTGGGATATCGTGACAGTTGGGTTCCTGAGGAACGAAAGGTGGTTTGAGCCCTCGCGGGCCAATCCGAGCGCGGCCAGTTTTGTGCTCTTGAGATGGCCACCCGCTCCACCCATCAGATGAGCAGGAAGAGTTCTTACGATGACGACGAGACGGCGGCTGGGCGCAGGGGTATAACCCCTTGTGTCCTGGCCGGGGGTGGTAACCCATCCTCGGCCGAATCGGGGGCAGGGGTAACCCCTTGTCTCCAGGCCGCCGGTGGTAACCCATCGGCGGCCGAATCGGGCGCAGGAGTAGCCCCTTGTGTCCGGGCCGGCGGTGGTAACCCATCGTCGGCCGAATCGGGCGCTGTCGTCGTTGCCGCCGCCGTCGTCGTCGTCGGTGGCGCCGCCCGCCCGACCCGACCCGCCCGACCCGACCCTCCCGTCAGGGTCTGGCCGACCCGACCCGACCCGACCCGCCCGTTCGGGCACGCGCGTGCCAATTCGATGATGCATCATACTTTAATGTCCCGCCCGCCCGACCCGACCCGCCCGTTAGAGTCCGCCCCGCCCGACCCGACCCGCCCGACTCGACCCGCCCGTTGGGGTCCGGGCGACCCGACCCGACCCGCCCGGTAGGGTACGCGCGTGCCAACCCGGTGATGCATAACACTTTAATGTCCCGCCCGCCCGACCCGACCCGCCCGTTAGGGTCCGCCCGCCCGACCCGACCCGCCCGATCCGACCCGCCCGTGAGGGTCCGCCCGCCCGCCCCGACCCGACCCGCCTTTTAGGGTACGAGCGTGCCAACTCGATGATGTATCATACTTTAATGTCCCGCCCGCCCGACCCGACCCGCCCGTTAGGGCACGCCCGCCCGACCCGACCCGCTTTGATAGGGTCAGCCCGACTCGACCCGACCCGCCCGTTAGGGCACGCGCGTGCCAACTCGATGATGCATAATACGTTAATGTCCCGCCCGCCCGTCCCGACCCACCCGTTGGGTCCGCCCGCCCGCCCGACCCGACCCGCCAGTTGGGGTCCGCCCGACCCGCCCCGACCCGGCCCGCCAGTTAGGGTACGCGCGTGTTTAGTCGACGATGCATTGTCAAAGTGAGGGGGCCGAACGGTCATTCACTGTCCCTGGGTGCGTGGCTGAAGTGGGAATTCGCGGTGCGGATTCTCGTTGTTGTTTGTTGTTGTTTGTTGTCGTCGTCCCACCCGCAACCCGCCCCGCGACCCACCCGCGACCCACCCCGCGACCCACCCTGCGACCCACGCGCGACCCACCCGCGACCCACCCGCGACCCACCCCGCGACCCACCCGCGACGACCCCGCGACCCACGCGACCCACCCGCGACCCACCCGCGACCCACCCGCGACCCACCCCGCGACCCACCCGCGACCCCCCGCGACCCACCCGCGACCCACCCGCGACCCACCCCGCGACCCACCCCGCGACCCACCCGCGACCCACCCGCGACCCACCCGCGACCCACCCGCGACCCACCCCGCGACCCACCCGCGACCCACCTTCGACCCAAACCACGTTCAAGGTACAAACCACCATTTTCGGCGCCTGCGGCGGGCTTTTTTTGCATTCCTTCCAGGTGGAGAGCCCGCGACCCACCCCGCGACCAACTCGCGACCAACCCGCGACCCAAACCACGTTCAGGGTACAAACCACATTTTTCGGCGCCTGCGGCGGGCAGCTTTTGTATTCGTTTCAGGTGGAGAGCCCGCGGCCCACCCGCGACCACGTTCAGGGTACAAACCAATTTTTTCGGCACCTGCGGCGCGCATCTTTTGCATTCGTTCCCGGTGCAGAACCCGCAGCCCACCCGCGACCCATTCCACGTTCAGTGTACAAACCAAATGTTTCGGCGCCTGCGGCGGGCTGCTTTTGCATTCCTTCCATGCGGAGGTGGAGAGCCCGCGACCCACCCGCGACCCAAACCACGTTCACTGAACAAACCAATGCCGCACAAGCGCGGCGGCGGATTTTTGCATGCCGTCTGAGTCCGCAACTACCTCTTCAACCCCCGCGCATCCACACCAGCCCGTCCAGCAACTTTGCCCTGGCGAGTTGCCTTGATCAGGGAAATCGGGGAGCATAAAATGGAAAAAAAAGATTGCGTTGCCGTTATCTTGGGAAAGGAGGGGGAGGCAGGAGGAGTAAACAGGGGACGAGGAGGACGCGAAATAAGAGAGGATGTAAGGAGAATGTGGAGAAAGAGGAGGAGGAGCAG